GGGGACAGGACACTGAGTGACACCATCACTCAGGAAGCAACGTCACACAGCGACTCAGGTAATCCTGTCAGGTGTGAACAGAGGCCTGTGCTGAGATTTAGCGCTGGGTTTTCAAGTTTTATGACGGCGGCTTTAATTAATGCCACACACCTGGCTGCTCAGGTGCAGGTCATGCTTGAGATGAGAGATCGGCATGGAAAATTGCTGTCCACTGGATATACTGTCACCATTCCTAGAAGATGTCTTGAACCTTGATGGACAGAGACCTATATATATAAACATACAACAATAAACGGGAAATTAAAGTACTCTTATTTTTCCCCGTATACAACATGTCATAAAGAGAAAAAAGGTAACATGTGGAACAAAAAAGTCCTAAAAAAAAATAATGAAACTGGGAAATTCGTTGGTGCACCCATTCCTGGGACATGTGAGCTTTGTCCAGTTTCCCTACATTACTGACATGTGAGAGAGAGAAATGACCAGCTAACTGTCATGTGTTGGAGGTAAAGTGATTTTTATTCACCGCGTGGGTGAACATCACCCGATGTTAGTGTTCTAGGGTTAAATACTTTATATGTTATATGAAATTTGCAAAGCAGCCTACTTACCATTTAGAATTATGTTCCCATTTGTTCTCAGACAGTCAAAAAGCCTCAGGGAAACAATGATGCTAATTCTGTTTTACACATAAGAATACAGCGAAGCAACGCGTTCGTTTAATGCAATACACAGTTGTAATTATAGTCGTATCCACTTGTGCTGCCATGACAGGTCTATTAAAGGAGACTTGTGCTCAGTAGTTTAGCTCCTGATTTGTTTGGGGCTTATGTGTTTATCCTCCGTGGTGACCACGTTGGGGTCGTCCTCGCTTTCTGATGTCACACAGTGCAAAGAGTAACCCACTTCCCATCAGTATGTCCCGGCAACACCTGACACAGAGCTTGTTAAGCTGGGACTGCTTCCATGCTTACCTCGCTCATGTCTGTGAAGGTTCTCAGTCATCCAGGTCATCGTAGTCAAAGGAGCTTGCAAAGAAAAGCGTCTGGACTTCTTTAAGTTGCTTGAAGACGTTTCACCTCTCATCCGAGAAGCTTCTTCAGTTCTAAGGTCAAATGGTGGAGAGTCCCAGATTTAAACCCAGTGGGAGTTAATCCAGTTTTGATATCTCTTCCCAGATGCCTTAACGCCCACTCACATCCTGGGCCATCTGACCTCAGGAATTCGCATGATAAGGTGGGGCCAGGTTTCACAATGAGCTCACCCGAAACTCTGGCTGATTGGGACCCACACCCAGTTTCACACCTTGGCTCAGGCGATTAGAGGATCATCAGGGGGTCCTTTTGTCCCTCTGTGGGGGGAAACTCCCACTAGGTTTATATCTGGGACTCTCCACCATTTGACCTTAGAACTGAAGAAGCTTCTCGGATGAGAGGTGAAACGTCTTCAAGTAACTTAAAGAAGTCCAGACGCTTTTCTTTGCAAGCTTCTTTGATTACCTCGCTCATGTTCCACAGTAGGCTTGAGTAGCCTGGATGCTTGCTCTACCTGGGATTTGAACTCCAGACTTTGTTCCAAAGACTACACACTTGATCAATTTCCCAGCCCTAGCGTCGACTGCTTTAACAGTATATGTATATATGACAGAAAATAAGGAAAAGCAGCTTTAATTACACAGATCCCACCCCCTTGGATTTAAATGCTGTGTATCCAGTGCTTTTCCTATCACACGCTTCCATTTGAACCACAGCAACTGTATAGTGTTTGTTATATTTTGTGTTTTTGATCCCAGCAGATTGTCACAGCTCGTGGGAACTCACTTGTAACTTGACTGAAAGCTTGTGGAGTTGATGGCCACCTTTGTGTGACTGTTCAGTCTGACTGTGGATGTGAGAGAAAGTGAAGCCCGATAAGGCAAAGATATTCTGAGCATGTTGGACATATGTTGTAGTTCGGGCGACCACGTGACCGGCTGTGCAGCGCTGGCTTGCCGTGATGCATGCTGGTTAAAGATTTGTCTGAAGGCCGCTGGTGCTGCCGAGTGTCACTGTGTCACATGGTGACATAACCTGCCGTGAGCTTGGCGACTGCAGTGAGCTGCAGACCTTTTCCTCCAGCTCCACCAATAGGGAACCACCTCTGTGATGGCAGAACTTTGTCCTGATTGGCTGAATGCTTTAATATGTAAATAACATGAATAAAATATATTTATTCATTTTATTTCCCCCCTCTTTTTTTAAATATGTAACTAATTAAAATTAGTCCCAGTTAAAACAGTCAAGAACTAACCAGCTGCTAACCAGCTTTATAAACTGGTCTGCCACTCACACAGCAAACCAGTAACTGGAAGCTTGCTGGTTTAATTCCTGACACTTCCTGCCTGATTCCCTCTAATCTGACTGGTTGGTTGGATCTGTGATTTGATTGGTTGCCTCTTGGACCTGTCAATCAATCAATTAATCAATAATATAACACTTGTTTAATTTGAATTTATTTTTTCTCCTTTAACCCCACTTTCATTTTTTTTCCCCTTCCAAATCAACCAACCGTTACCCGCCTCCTCCCCTCACCTCCTACACCTCCCTCATCCCTCCTGTTACCTCCTTTCCTCCCCACATCCTTCCCTCACTTGGCCCCTTCATCTCTCCCCTCAGAGGTGGTGTCTCTTCGTTCCTCTGGAGGTTTGAAGGTTCGATCTTCATCCTCTTCAGTTCAGTCTTTACTTCAGTCGTACAGCACCTCTCTGAGGAAGCCCAGAGGCCTCGGACGCAGCCTGAGCTCCTACCTGAACCACGCCACCAGACTGGGTACTAATGCCGCAAATACATGTACATGCACAAGTACTGCACCACTAATACACACATGCGTGCTGAATATATACAGTAGAATCATGTACTGCGCATCTATCAACATAAAAATAGAAGCTGAATTTGCTGTGTGCTTGAAAATGTAGACGAGGAGTTTAACGACTAACTAAATTTAATTTCTGTTGTGAAGTGAAAACAGATCAGTTGTTGGCTGTGAAACAGGAATGAAGTCATAATTGGTGAGTTTAAATCTGAATGCTGGAGCAGTGAAAGAGGCCTTCCCCTCCATTTAAATTCAGTACAGCACCACCAGAAAACAACAGTCCCACGTCGCTGTGGCTTCTTGTGTTGGCAGAGTGAATGCTGCAACGTTACACTTCTGCTCTAATCAATGAAAGTGGCTTCTCTGGGCTCGAGTGTACGTGCTGCAGAGATGCACTCCATAAATATAAAAACACACCAGTCAAAATACTTTGTTTTACACGGCGTGCACGATTATTTTACACAGAAATGGTTTTTGTATTTCTTCTTGTAATTGTAAATTTACAAAGTCTACTCTGTGGATGTTTTCTTAGCCACGTCATCCAAACAGCGCTGCGTTTTGTCCATAAACTGAGGAATTCTTTCCCAAATTTTTGCAGACTGACTGTGCAGAACATGCTCTGCATAGTTGCATTCTGCTGCATATCAGCTCTCTAGTAAAGCGCTATACAAATACAGGCCATTTACCATTTTTTACCATTTACTCCGAACTGAGAAAGAAGAATTTGCCTGCAGCTGACCCAGGCTTAAACAGCCATCTGCTGCGACCGGTCGCAGTGACAGGAACAAGCAGAGCGACGTAGAAATAGAAAGAATATAAGATTAAACACTGAGCAGGTTGGCCTGCAGAGCAGATACAGAGAGAGCAGAGACTGTGGGGAGAT